AATAGCTATACATGAATCAAGACTCAGATGTAGTAGTTTCGGACAATATTTTGCAATTTCTATAATTGATATATTACTAAAACCATAATTTTAATCAAGAATAAGAAAGTTTATATCTGGACACATATGTAAAATTACATAAGTAATGTATCTGAGATTTTTAAATTCATTAATTTGAGATATATTATCTTTGAGCAGAAGGAACTTTATTTTTTCATATATAACTTTCTTTAACTTTCTTAATTATTAATAAAAGCTTCAAATATATTTTTATTATATTAGTTCTGCTAATAATTTTCTATAAAAAACTCAATACATCTTCATAGAATTAAAGTATTATAGTGATACTAAAGATAATTAATGAATAAAGCAAGATAAAGTGCTTTATCTTTAGCTAAAAAACTAACTCCAATTCAAATTCTGGCTTTATTTCTGACTCAAATTCTTTAATATACAATTATTATTACTTCAAATTTTTAAACATCTTTACTTTGAGTATTCATGATATTTTCTTAATATATTATTCAAGAGAAAAAGTTCAAAATAAAAATTATTTCAGAATATAGTAATTAATACATATTATTAGATATAGTATAAATATAATATTTTATTATTATCTTATATTCTTAGAATTAGAGAAGTTTATAATTAGAATAGCTATTAATCTAAGAAATATCAAGTTTACTAAGATTCTTTTATATATATTCTTGTGATAAATTAACTTTTTCTAAATATGATATTAGCAATATTTATATTAGAAACATCAAAAAATAAAGTAATACTATTAGAAAAAGCTGTAAAAGATGATAAAAAAATATATAGTAATATTAGATATGATTAATTATAATTAGTTATAACTAAAAAAAAATTTTTGATTTTGTATTTGAAAGAAATTATTCTTGATATTTATAACTATTATAATTAATATAACTAGATAATTAGGAAAAACTTCAGCTTTTTTTATTTTTTTTCTATAGGTATACTATATATATATATATATATATGATATATAAATATAAATATATTATATAGATACTATATATATATATAAATATATTATATTATAAATATGATATATAATATGATATAAAATATAATATATAGTATAATATATAAATATATCATAGGAAAAGTTATATTTTTTTAATTTTACCATTAGTTATATTAATTATAGTAGTTACAGTAATTAAGAAATAAATCAAAACTAATCTGAAAATATAAAGAAGATGTAATCAGTTCTTTAATCATGAAAAATTCAATTTTATAATTATTTTATAATTATCTTTAAATTAGTCAAACAATTTCTATTGAATGTAATAATTCAAGCTAACAAACAAGAAATGTGAATGAAGAAGATGCTTTTTTTAAATTGAAAATACATGAATACTCATGCATTATTTTCATTAATCCTTGATCTCTTTAGTATTAAATTCTTTTGCTAGACATTTAATAAACTCTGTTTAATGATGTTTTGATAAAAAAGCAACTAATCTTGCAGTTATTCCTGGCAGATTAACCTCTGGCTTCAACTATTAGATGTTGAAATAAATAAATCATTCAAGGTAAAGATAATTTATTTTGAAAATAATTTAATATTTTATTTTATTTATATCTTTATTAATATAAAAGTATCAAGAATATAATACCTAGATGACTGAAGAAATTCAACTACTCCTGCTGGTTATATTCAATATCCTGCAGATTCAGTTATTGCACAATGGGTTAAAACTTGGGAGGGTGTAGATTCAAAAATAATTTCTCGATCATTCAAATGTTGCGGCATATCAAATGCCCGAAATGTTTCCAAAGATCATTTAATTTTCGATATGATCAAATAAAAACGACGAAACTAATCAAAATGGCGTTTTTTATAGGTTTGAAGGAGCGGAAGAGGGCAATATTAATAATAATGAACTTGGAATTGGAACTCGTTCAAATATTATTACTACTTTGAATATGACGGATAGTAATAATATTAACGATTATATCGATTTTGGCGATTTATTACGATAATGAAGAAATTAGTTATGAATAAAAATATACATTATTATATATTTTAAAAGTATATTGTATAATACCCGGGAATAAATTACGGGTATTATCTTTAGATGTATGTGCAAATAAATGATACAAATTTATAATATTTTTTTAGGTGAAACCAATCATCAGTCCGATCACGAGATAATGAATCGTGTGATGAGTTATAAATAACCCATTAGAATATCCGCATTATAGTTCTAAACGATTATCACCAGATTTTTTATGCGGTCGATTGACTGATGCGAAACTCACGCCATGATAAAAATACATTTTATTTTAACTAAGACGAAAAAATCGAAATTTTGTATAAATAGGATTGAACTGAAAAAGCCATATACTAAATCAAAAGTCATATCAATTAAATCATAATAGATATCAATATCAATTCAAAAATCAAAAACAAAATATTTTAAATCAAACAAGAAAAAATGGTATCAGAAGTATCAGAAATAGTCAACCATTTTGAAGATCAAGATATCATTTCATCACGAAAACGAGGAAACCCGCATCCACTTGGACTAGTTTCTTTCGGCGTAACTACATTCGTCTTTTCATTTTATAATCTCGGTATCTGCGGAATCACGCATGAGAATGTCGGTCTCGGTCTAGCGTTATTTTATGGTGGATTCACACAATTTATCGCGGGCATGTTGGAAATGTATTTGGGTAATACGTTGCCTGCCACGGTGTTTAGTTCATACGGCGCATTCTGGTTGTCGTTTGGCTTGATTTCGTTACCCTCTGCGGGAATAAGTGCGGCTTACGCCGATCCTAAAGAATTCGATAATGCGATTGGTATCTTTTTGACTGCTTGGGCAATTTGTAAGTTTTTATTTGCTGATTTATTTGGTTTTCGCTAATCTCTGTTTGTTGTGCACACTAACACTATCGTTAAATAAATAGTGACGATAATATTGTTAATTGGCGCACTTCGCACAAATAATTGCATGATTGGTGCTCTTCTATTACTATTTTTGATTTATGTTAGCCTTTCTCTTGGAAAATTCACCGGACAGCTTGTCTTTATCAAAATTGGTGGAGGCATTGGTGGTAATTATCTCTCCCATTATTATTGTAAACGAAAAAAAGTTCGCAAATTCTAATTTATTTTGTCTTGTTATATTTAATTAATTATGTAGTTGTATTGGCAATATTGTCGTTTTATATGACACTTGCAAATATGTTGACCAAAGAAAATTCGTATTTCACTCTTCCTCTCGGCCAGAGAAGCTTTGATAATGTCAATGTGCACAATGCTCATCAGACAATATCTGTCGAAAATAAAGTATAATTAATTAGTAGCGGTATTAATAATAGAACTCGAAAGTAAAAATCCGTAAATAGACGTTTGTCCTCATTAATGAAGCTTACAGTGCCCAGAAAGTCGCGACCGATACGATATTTAACGTCGTTGTGTTGGCAGTGACAACGACACAACAAAAAATTTGAATATCGTAAAACGCAGCTTTTTATATTTAAAAATTTTATATACTATAATAAAAAATAAAAATTTTAAAATTGAAATTTGCTTGGAATGGTATCATTCTCATATTATCATTTCGTATACTTTATTTATACTAATATATTTTATCGTCATTATTAATTATAAATCAACTATTCAATCAAATTTTTCTATACCGTGATGCATATTGCCACTGTCTTCCGTCGAATACCCTTAAAAATAAGGGTAAATAGCTTTTTTTGTCCGTCTCATTGTTCTTGTTTTTCCCTCTTGCTATCGACGTTTTTTCGGTTAAAAAGGTAAGTAAGAAAGTTAACCTTTTTTTCTCTTCATTTTATTATTGTTTCCTTGCTGCCACCACCCTGGTATGAAATTAAAAAGTGTTAGTAGTATTTTTTAACTGCTAGAATTACTTACCTTTTTCCTTGTTTTTTGATATCATCTTGTTTTATCTTCTTGCAGTTCCTGTTTTCTTTTTTTTTTTGGTCTTTACTTCTTCACAGTCTTTGCGTTTTTTTGCTGCTATCGTCGTTTTTGATCATCTCAAACTAGAAAAGTTAAAAGTGTTAGTAATTTTAATCTCTAAAAATTGCTTACCCTTTTTCATTTCTTTGTCTTATTATCCTTGTTCTTCTTTGTAACTACTCTTCCTTATCATCTGAAATATCCACCTATCCCGGTGCTCTTTGCATCCAAATTCCGGTAGATCGATTGGAAATCGATCAAGGTAGTATTGGCTACCTCAAGTGAAAACAATATCCTATTTCTTCTTTCCATTTATCTGCACATAAGACCTGACATCTCATCGGATACTTAGCGTCGTTGGTTTAGGCAAGGAAAGATTGCCACAAAGACATCTTTCCCGAATTAACCTTTCAAAATGAGAAAGATTACGCCCAGGTCTCTTGTGCGAAGCAAAAGATCACTTGGATGACCTCGAGTGAAACAAATAATAATTCCTCATCCAATTCCCGACATACGAGCTCATTAGTGACATCGGCTCTAGTATCAGCTTCAAACGTCCAAGACTTCGACCGGAATGAGTAAGTCGCACTATCACGGAGATTGTCATTACCCACTGCCTCTGTCGTTTCGCCTTCAGCTTCCTACTCGAATTCTCCCCCAATGCTACAAAACTCGTGGTTCTCTTCGACGAGTCGATTTCTGACGAATACGAACTTGCCGAAGATATACTTGCTATTAACACAATCTTCATCTGCAAAGGAGAAGAGCTGTCCGTTATCGACGAGAGGCCAAAACAGACAAGAAGCGCAAGAGAAAAGCGAAGCAGCTCGTTGCAAACATCAGAAAACCGAAAATATTCTCAATCGCATGCAAAATATATTTACTTATCTTGATCCTAAATAAAATCTTTACTGATTATAGAACTGATTACAT